AAGTGACGTGAGCAATCACTAGGGGTGTGCGTGCGAATCCCCATTCAGCGCACCTGAAGAGAGGCAAAGGGAGTCCAAAGGAACCCAGATGGCCCCAAATTAGAGTGGCTGCCAACTCTCCAGGTGGCGCCCAAAGATTGAGATAGGATGATTCCCGAGTTGGGGAATCATCCAGAGGGGTCCCTCTAGGATTTCCAAAGCGGAGCGGACTAGTAGTCATCTCTCCTTACAGTCTCTCCTGGCCATGGAGCAGGCGGGCTGGGTGTGGTTGGGGGAGGGGCGTGCAGTGCACAGGTTCTGCTGCTGTCCCCTGCCCTGAACAGGGGACCAAGCCCGACTCCCAAGTTCCCAACTCCTTTTCAGCCTCTGGGCAGCCCACCTTTGGATTTCCAAAGCAGGCTAGGCAAATAGCGCTTCTGGTCATGGAGGAGGGGCCTCTGGGGTTGTAAGGGAGATGTCTTTGTGTGAATCTCCTGCATTGCTGGGAACGGGGCGGGGAGACCCACAAGCCAGCCGCTGTGTGGCTCGGGATGTTTTTGCCTGCCTGCCCCTGCCCGGTGGGGGTGGAGCTATCTTACTTCCTTGCTGCCACCTTCCTAGAGGTAGCATACGTGGGACCCCTCTGGATGATTCCCCAACCCTAAGATTTTTGCCATTGACTTCAATGGCCCCATTGGTTATAATGGACCCGAATTTTTCAGGATTCCCGAATTTTTTTGGGATTTTTTTTTTTGGGATTTGGACAAGCGCATAAATTGCTAATTCGGGATCCCAAAAGCCAAAAAAAGCCAAAAAACGTTATTTTCGGCTTTTTTTTTCAGCTCGGGATCCCGAAATGCACATCCCTAGTAGTAGCTAGGATGTTGGGATTAAATATGGTTTGAATCCAGACCCTGTTCAGCCACAGAGCTTGTTAGGCCGCCTTCCCTGTTACGAACACCTCCCTATCACAGGATGGTTATAGTGGATATGGACCGTGGAATGGATACGATCTTGTCAACTGAGGACTGGAGGGAACTGCTATATCGACATTCAAATATGTTTTTGATAAAACTGATTATACAGATTTTGTAGCTCCAGGAGGTTACACTGTAAGTGTTCTCAAGACTTCCACTAGGTGTATATCCTCTAAATGGGTCGTCGTGTTAGCCTGTCTGTAGCAGCAGAAAAGAGCAAGAGTCCAGGAGCACCTTAAAGGCTAACAAGAGTGGTGGCAGGGGAGGAGCTTTCGGGAGCCGTGACTCATGAAAGCTCCTCCCCTGCCACCACTCTTGTCAGTCTTCAAGGTGCTCCTGGACTCTTGCTCTTTTTCTGCCGTATAGTTCTCTAAACCCTGGTGTCTTTCACAGACCATGCAAACACATGCCGCTGTGTTCCGTACGGGCTCTGTCCTCCAGGAGGGTTGTGAGAAACTGAGCAGCATCTACAAGGATCTGGACAATCTGAAGACATTTGACAGAGGTAGCTTGTTTGTAGCGTGCCCTTCTTGGCATCATGAGCGGGGTTTCCCTAAACATCCTGCAATCTTGGAAAGAAACATTTTTGTGGGGGCATCACATATAAAATACGATACAGCCATGCAATGTTCCCTCTAAGCCGTGGAGTCTTGTGAGCAAAAATTCTACTTTGTGAGCTACTGGCATTAAAGTTGTGAGCGAGCGATTCGGCTACTACATAAATCAGTTTGCTCTGGGGCCATCCTTCCTGAGCTGAGACAAAAATGTGTGAGCTGGAGGCTAAAAAACGGTGAGCTAGCTCACACTAACTCAGCTTAGAGGGAACACTGCAGCCATGTAGTCAAAAGGTGTATCAATCTAGCAACGTGAATTCAACTAAAAAACAAGTAGTTACAGGATGATTGATTTGCAGAGAAATAGATTTTATTCTGTGTATTATCTCTGGATTTTCCTTCTTTTTCCTACAATGTTTGTATTGTACGCTGGTCCTAAGACCGTAATAATAAAACTAGAAGACTAAGATCAAAGTTAACAACATGAGTGTTGTTAGGGGCATTTGAAATACCAGTTTGGCAGATACCAAAACGAAGCCACCGTAGTCGTGGTTTCCAAACTTTTCTACCTTTGGAGAACAAAGCCGAAGCATCCAGGATGTGGTTGAAGGAGCCTCCTTGGTTCCTGTGGGCACTGGTCAGGCCTCTGGGCAAACTAGGACTGTGTACAAAAGCATTTCCCATGTGACTCCAGGGCAGGGGTCCCCAACCCTTTTGAGCCTGTGGTTACCCTTGAAATTCTGCCACCGGGGGTTGGGCACATCCACAACATGGCTGCCACGGGAGGCGGAGCCAACCACAAAAGGGGTGCTGAGGAGGTGGAGGAAGCCCGAGTGCAGGGTATAGGGGCATAATTTAAAAATATACTGAAACAGAGAAATGAGAGCGAATAAAAGTAACACAGTGGCAGCAGCTGCTACTGAAACGTTATTTTAATTTGCCCAGCCAATTGGATCTCCAGTGGCCTATCAAAAGCCCTGTTGTGCAAGTGCCAGACCTGACCGCACCCACTTTCTAACCATATTTGGTGGCCACTGAAAAAGGTATCTGCGGCCCCGTGCCACCCATGGACACCACGCTGGGGACCTCTGCTCCGGAGGCTATTTAGCAACACAGGACAAACCTCTCTTAGAGACCTTAGTCCACCATGGATCTTCCTATTGAGAGGAACACTTGGAAAGCTTCCAAGGTACCCAGGGTTCTTTGAGAGCACAGCTTGAAATTCACTGCTTCAAAGACTCAGGGCTGTATATATTGCGGGCTTATTTTTGTAAGTCAAGATGCTGTAATCTGTGTTAAGGGTCTGATTTCTGAAACTAGAATAATATTATGCAGGTTAAGCAAACTTGCCCTGTTTTTGTTTGTATAATTCTGGTTTTGTAATTATTGGAAGAAGAAAAGGCATCATGGGATACTGATAGCCCCATCCCCTGACTATGGAAAATCATAGCAATTGCTTTTGGAATTTCAGTAAGGCATTACCAGCATGCCTGTCTGTGTAAATATAAAGTCTAAAACTTTATTCTTAAGAGATTCATAGAAACTTCTAATTCTTCTCGCAATACCGCATTCTGTCCCATTTCTCCATTTGAGAACATTACAGAAGGATCTCCAGCCAGCAAGATTAATGCTGAGATCCCCCCCGATTTGATGGAACTTGCCATGCAGTGGAATCGGTGGCTACTTTATTCTTCATTTGCCGCTTGACCTTCTTTCCCCCTCATGGGGAAGGGGTGGGGGAGTCTGATGAACAGAAGGCTGTCTCTCCCCTGAAGGGGGAAAACAGCCACTCATTTGAGGCTATGGGAGTGTTGCTTCAGCATCCCGTCACTTTTCGGAAGGGGGGGTTGGAATGTGGGAGGGAAACACAGCAGGAGCTGAGTTCAGATCTGCCTCAGCGAGAGAGCAGTGACGGCTCAGGTGTGGCTCAGGAAAAGAGCATCCAGAGTGAAGGGCAGCTCTGCTGGGTAGTGTGGCAGGAAGGCCTGGCCCTACTTCTGAGAGAGAACAGAGTACCCGATTGTTAAGGGCCATCTCTGGCAATGAGCAGATCTTGTGCCATTCAGTCTGGCTCTCGGGAGAGGGCAGGCTGGCGTGGGTGGGATCCTGTGTGTGTGTGTGCGTGTTAGGATCCAACCTAGTGGCTTGTTATGCTAGAAAGTATTAAAACTGAAACTACTCTCTACAATATCTGTCTGGAGACCTGTGCTGCTGATACATTCATAGAAACCTACATGCAAATCAGTAAATCTTTTTTGATGTTAATATATAATACATATATAAAAGATAATTCATGCCTCAGTCACCTCCGTGTTCTACTTGTGCACTACAAAACTTAACTCACAGTAGTGAACCCAAATCCTAGGCACTTGCGCCGTGGTAACCGAGTGGGAGGTTCATAGTTTAAAAGAAACCTGGTAACCCCCCCCCCAACCCGTAGGAGGCTGTGTGGGTCCCCCTCGGTTCATAGAAACAGCTTGCCCCAGGGAGATCTGCCCTTCTTATCACTGAGTTAAAAACAATTCAAGCATTCCAAATTTTAAAGTGAAGAAACCAGGGTACTGTGGATGAGTGACGCTGCACATCAGTGTGTCATAACTATAGTTTTATATGAGAAACTTGCCCTGTGTCTGCAAACAGCATTGTGCTTTTGTTTTTCCCATGTGCCACTCAGTGTTCCCTGTAAGCTGTGCACCTGAGTGGCCAGTCAGGAACACGGGAAGCCCCACTTGTGGAGCCCTGCAGGGTCCTGCACTAACCGTTGTCCTTTTTAGGATTACAGTGGTTACATTCCACTCAGGATGCGAACTGCTCCGCTCAATAAGGGGAAAGAATTAGAGGAAACATTGGTGCCACTACCATTGGAAAATGTGATCTGATCAGCTAATCTGCAGGAGTGCCACTTCCCCTGAAACATCTAAAGCTCTTTCCAAATCTTTTATTGCAACATAGGGGTGGTCTGGAATACTGACTTGGTGGAGACTTTGGAACTTCAAAACCTGATGCTTTGTGCGTTGCAAACTATTTATGGTGCCGAAGCTCGGAAAGAGTCGCGTGGTGCTCACGCAAGGGAGGACTACAAGGTAGGCATGCGTTGCTTTCGGACCTGCCTTCTGTCGTGCTGCTGCCGTCCCCTGAAAGGTCAGAAAAGTCTGTCGTCTTTGTTCTGTTCTATGTTGGTGCAGAAACCGCCTGTGCTTCTGCTGGGCCCCCTTTCCTCTCCTTTAAAATCCTTCCCAGAATTCATTTTTTCATTAAAGTTGGGGCTTGGGTCGGTAGGCAGATTTCTCTCCTGAAGAAATTTAAAAAAAATAACTGTACCTGACGTCAGCATAAAACCGCTGTCTTTCAATGAAGATGTTAAAACAGAATATTCTGCATCGGGATATTCACACACTGATGCACAAAATTAGTACAAGGAGGTCATGTAAGCTTCATGTTCTATCCTTGATCAGTACTTCTGTTTCTGGCTTCCTGAAATGTTAATATTTCACTAAGAACAAAGTTGGACTCTAGTGGCACCTTGAAGACCCACAAAGTTTATTTCTGGGTATCAATTTTGTTGTACCCACAATTAAGCTTTGTTGGTCTTCAAGGTGCCACTGGACTCACTTTGTTCTGTTGCTTCAGACCAACACGGCCACCCACCTGAATCAATGTTTCACTAAGTATCAGGACCAGTTTTTGTCTGGAAAATGACATCAGAATACAATAAGAGTTACTAACCTGTGATGAACCCTGCTTAATTTTTAGCACGTGTGTCTCTGTCCTTCATCCCGGCTGCCATTTCACTTGTTTCCCTTTCAAGCAGTGGGGTTTGTCCCTCTTGGGAAATATGGGACGCCTAAAGGAGGGGCCGGAGTTGCAGGAAGATGAAGCATCCTGCTGCAAGTAAAGCCCTCCTCTTCCCCCTCCCCCTCCCAGCAGCCCGGGTGGGTCAGCTGGTTCCAGACAAAGGAGCTGTGCTGCATTTGTGGATGGGGTTGGCTCCTCCATGCCCCCATCAGGGGTAGCAGATGGAAACCAGAGCAGCACTAGGCATCCCTGTCCTGATGCTCTTGTGGCCCTGAAGGTGCCTTCTACTGAATCAGACCTTTGGTCTATCGGGGTCAGTCTTGTCTACTCAGACTGGCAGGGGTTCTCCAGAGTCTCAGGCTGAGGTCTCCTACGTCACCTGCTGCCCGGTCCTTTCAGCTGCAGAGACCAGGGATTCACCCTGGGACCTTCTGCATGCAAAGCTGAGGCTCTTCCACTGGGCCACAGCGCCTCACTGTTCTTATAAGGGAAATAGATAGATTCATGGAAGGTAAGTCTATCAGTGGCTATCATGGTGACTGAGGGGAACCTCCATAAAAAGTTGACTCCATATTTCAAGAAACATCCATCACGCTCATTCATCTTGCTCTGTTTTTCCAAGTAGAGATTTAAAATTTCCGGAAATTTTGAAGCTCAGGGAAAAAACGTTTTTTTCCGCAAAAAAACGGAATTTTTAGGAAAAATTGAAAAAAAATGCTACATTAGCGACTTATTTTTTCTTTTCCAGATTGAAAGTCATTCTGTTACTTTAGGAGCATAAAATATGTAACCATTTATGAAAATTAATAATAAAAAAAATTAAATAAAAAGAAACATAAAATATGACTATGGACATTTTTCTTGGCATGACATTATCACAACTAGCATATTAAAAATATAGTGTATCCCATTATTGCAAACAGAATTTACTTTTTTAAATAATATTTATTTGTAATTGTAACAAATGGAGCAACAATCTCCTGGACTGTTTACTAGTTTATGTGGAACAGACAAAAAACCCTCTGCAAAACAATTTTTAAAAATCCAGAAGTAACAATTATTCATTTTTCTTCTCCACAGTATTAAATAATTAATAAAACCATTCTCGTAAAAAGAAGAGGGGGAAAGTGTATAGAAGGGAGTGTGGGACTAAGTTTCAATGAATGGGCATGAAATTGAATCAGAATCATTTTCTGAGCTGTAATGATCAGTATCAGATCTTCGACGTGTTCTCTGTGCTTCACACCCATGGGTTTAGTGCGCCTGCGCTGAACCAGATCGGTGTTGTAGCAAGCTCCAACGGATTTTCGCACCTAAACCTCGGGCAGGCGCATGCCCGGAGGGACGGGCGCGGACATCCCGCCAGTTCTTTTCTGACCGCCGCGCTGTTCGCAGCTCTTTTTGGTCGGTGAACTTACCTCAGTAGTTTGTCAGTTAGTAGCTCTGAATTCCTCAGGACTCTTCCCTTTTCCGCATTCTTGTTTTTCTTTAATTTGTTTGTCCGTCTTAAAAAAAAACCCAAAAACCCCGGAGGGGGCTTGTGTTTTCTTCCCTCCTCCCCGCCTTTTGGCCTCTCCTCGCCTGTTCTTAGTTTATGGTGAAAAGGAATAAAAAGTGGGATTTTTTCAACCACTGTACCTCTTGCGGAAACAAATTGGTCCCTCCGGACGGCCACATGCTTTGCCTATTCTGCCTGGGGGAGGCTCATTGTCCAGACTCCTGCCCTCACTGCGCTAAATTCTCAAACCAAACGTGGAAGAACTGGGCAGCATGCTTGAGGGTAGCCCTTCTAGAATCTGTGTTAGCCCCTCATGCATTGGAGATGGATCCTGTTTCGCAGCCAACAGCTTCGACGTCGACTGCTCCATCGGCTTTGACGCTTCCATTGGTACCGAAGTCTGCTTCCGACATTGCGAGATCAGCCACGAAGTGCTTGGCTCCACCCGTGCAATCATCGGCGTCGACTCCTGTAAAGAAGAAGAAGGAAGACCAGGCTGAGACGACAGGCAAGGCAGCCAAAAAGGGCACTACTAAACCCCCTAAGGCGCCTCGGCCCGATGTTGCTGTGGACCCTCCCACTGTTGTGGCCACCAAGGATCGACCTACAGTTGTTGGGGTGTTGATGCCCGAGGCCCCACTTATCACTATGCAGTCGCCTATCCAGCTGCTCGACTCACCCGTTCGGAGGGAGCTTCCAATCCTGATCGACATGGAACGCTGTTCCGATATCGATGAAGTTGCTGCTCTCAGCCACATATCCAGGCGGGACCTTCCTCTTCCTTGCCTTCTCGATTGCCCTCACCGGTCGATGCCGAGGGTCGAGACCGACATCCTCGTCATCACCGAATGTTAGGTGAACGTCACCATTTTTCTGACTACGCACCACCAGTCTTGCCTCGCCATCACTCCCGTTCTCATTCCCGTGACTGGGGCCTTTCCAGGTCTCCAAGGGGTCCCTATGTCAGGGACCGTTCTCCCAGGGGTTGTCAACGCCCCATTCAACCGATACCATGGGATCAGTGACAACTCCAATACCTCTGTGGCGCTTATCCGCCCGCTGCAACCATGCCCTGGTTGCCTCCATCAGCCACAGTCTCCAGGGTGCCAGAGTCTCCTCGCCCACATCCACCAGCTCACAGGGACCAGCGTGACCAGGTTACACCGCTTGAACCTTCGATACCGAAGCCTTTGGTATCGACGCCATTACTGCCGGTTGGAGTTGCCCCAGACCAGTTGGAACCCCCAACACAAGTGCCGGACCACGAATCTTCATCATCCGCAGTGGAGGCTTCTGAATCGGAGCTGTCGGACCCAGGCAGTTCACCTGACAATCTGTCTCCAAGGCCGTCAATAACGGATAACCTGCCTATTTCACCTTCTGAGGACATGTCCTCTTACGGCGACCTTATCAAACGTATGGCTCACTCGCTGGGACTCTCAGTACTCCAACCTCAACCCTCGGTCTCCGACGCTGTCTTCAACGTGGTCCAACTAGATGCTTCGACGCCGACGGTCCTTCTGCAAGCGGCCAAGGCGCCGTGGGACAAACCCTCGTCCACGCCTGTCTCCTCACGCCGATTGGACCACATGTATCAGGTCCAAGAAGCTGGCGCCAAATTTCTCTTAAACCACCCAAAACCTAACTCCATGGTGGTGACATCCTCCTCTAAGTCAAAGAAGACTCACTCCACTCCCTCTGACCGGAACAGCAAGAAACTTGACTCCTCTGGAAGGCGTTTCTATTCTACGGGCTCCCTGGGTGTGAAGAGCACTAATTACCAGGCGTGTATGAGCCGTTATCAGTACACCCTGTGGGAACGCCTTTCTGAGTTTTTGGCCGCCCTGCCGGAAGATAAACGCCAGCAGGCCAGGAAAATACAAAAAGAGGGCCTGGTCCTCACCAAACAACAAATCAACATGGCGAAGTGTTCTCTGGACGCAGCCTCCAAGACCATGCCCACCGCCATAGCGCTATGCAGACATTCATGGTTACACACTACATCTTTGCAAATAGACACCAGGTCGTATGTTGGGGATCTTCCCTTTGACAGTTTGGGACTTTTCCATGCTTCCACTGATGGTGCGCTACATGGATAAGAGCATCAAGGCATCCATCCCGTACCTTGGGTGTATCCTCGTTTTCAAGAACTTTTAAGTCCAAGCACTTGGTCTCGGCCGTGGCAAAAGCGTCCCTACAATAGGCAGTCACCGGACCGTTCATGCAGGACCCGGTCTTCCTCAGGGGGGCAACGTCCGTCCTATCAGCAACATCCTCGGTTTGGCCAGGGACAACAATCCAATAGATCTAAGCCTGCAAAGCCAACCAAGCAGGGTCTAACTTTTTGTCCTCCCCTCCCCATGACGCCCACCTGGCAGCTTTCCTTCCGGCCTGGCGGGATATTACAACAGACTCTTGGGTCCTCTTGGTGGTAACCTCTGGTTACCTTATAGAGTTTACGCACCTCCCTGTCCTACCTATATTTGTCTGCACCCCCCCTCCTCCCTGGCCCTACTGGAAGAGGTCGTGAGCCTTCTCGCCAAGAATGCCATCGAACTGGTACCACCTTCAGAACGAGGCAGGGGATTCTATTCCCGTTACTTCACCGTCCCGAAGCGGGATGGTGGTGTTCGCCCGATTCTGGACTTGAGAGGACTCAATACCTACGTCCAGTACTGCCGTTTCCGGATGATCTCCCTTCAACAAATTCTGCCACTGCTCCAGAAAGGAATATGGATGGCCACCCTGGACCTTCAGGATGCTTATTTTCATTTAGCAATACATCCTTCACACAGGCACTACCTCCGGTTTGCCATAGGTCAACACCACTTCCAATACACGGCTCTCCCCTTCGGCCTCTCCAGCGCGCCCAGGGTCTTCACCAAAACTATGGTTGTTGTGGCAGCATTTCTCCATCTCCAGGGGATCAGCGTCTACCCGTACATCGACGACTGGATTCTGGTTGCCAACTCCAGGCTTCTACTTCTCCATCACATACGGGATACCCTCAGGTTGCTCAACACGCTGGGCCTTCGGGTGAATACCGACAAGTCCCACCTACAACCTGCCCAACGGGTACAGTACATAGGCGCGTGTACCTGGACTCCATTCGCTGCCAAGCTTTCCTGCCAGAGGACAGGGCCCGGCGCATCATCGACCTCGCCAAATTTGTTGCCTCTCTGCCCACGGTAATGGCACTGCTGATACTAACAAAAAGGAAGGGAACAGCTACACGGCCTGATGGCCGCCACTACGTCGGTCCTTGTCTTTGCAAAACTGCGGATGTGCCCTCTTCAAATATGGTTCATACGCAACTTCGATCCGGCAAGGCATCTCCAAACACTCAGTCTGTCCGTCCCTCCGGATGTACAGAATACTCTGTTGTGGTGGACTTCCCCCAACAACCTTTTCCAGGGGGCCCCTTTTATCCTCCGGCACCTACTGTGACCTTGACAACAGACGCGTCGCAATGGGGATGGGGGGCACATCTCCAAGGCCTCTGCATCGGGGGCAGGTGGTCTCCAAGCTTCCGAACTCGTCACATCAACCTCTTGGAACTCTTGGCGATAGAATTTGCACTCCACTCCTTCCTGCCCGTTAGTTCAAGGGCGATGTGTGGCTGTACTCATGGACAACACCACAGCGCTCAGTTACGTAAACAGACAAGGGGGCACTGTGTCCCGTCGCCTCTGCGATCTGGCAATTCTTTTGTGGAACTGGTGCCTGTTTCAACGCATCCATCTGATTGCGACTCACATACCTGGCCACCTGAATGTTCAAGCAGACAGCCTCAGCCAAGGAAGCTTTTGTCTCTACATGACTGGGAACTCAATTGGTCATACCTTCGGCCTCTCTTCCACAGATGGCGGCATCCGTAGGTGGACGCCTTTGCCACCAGATCAAACAGAAAGTGCCCGAGGTTTTGCAGCGGGGGGGCATGGACCCACTGTCCCTGGGAGATGGGCTCATCTACTCCTGGACCTGGGACTATCTCTTCCTGTTTCCCCCTCTTCCGCTGCTTCTGCGAGTCGTGCACAAGATTCTCAACGACAACGCACACTGCATTCTGGTATCCCCATGGTGGCCACGCCAACCCTGGTTCGCGACACTCCTCGACCCATCCCTTCGGGCATGCGCAGTAGGGGTTCCTGCACCTGCCCGAGGTTTGGGCGCGAAAATTCGTTGGGGCTTGCTATAACACCGATGTGGTTCAGCGCAGGCGCACTAAACCCATGGGTGTAAATACACAGATGACCACTCGAAGATCACCAGTTACAGGTAAGCAACCTTTTTTTCAGTCTCTGCTTCTGCAGCTACTCTGTTGTGTCTGTCATTATCCATTGGAGAGTTCCGTTTGTAACCCAGGACTTGCTTGTCCTCAGTGCACAGAAATTGGGGCTTGCTGATACCATACATATTTTTTAGAAATGATTTGGAAAATATTTGAACACCTTGTCTTAAAATATTTTGTTCATCATGTTAAAATAAAATGTTCCATAATTTAAAAAAAATTATTTTCTTTTTTCAATTTTTCAGGGGAAAAAAAGGCTTCAGGAAAAAAACAGAAAAAGCCTGGTATTTTTCCGTTTTTTTTCCGGGCCTTCACATCTCTACTCCCAAGTAAAACGAGCTTTCCAGAGTATTTAAAAACACTGAATTGTGCTTTGAATTGTGGGTAAACTACATCCTCTTCAGAGGAACCTTAAGCTGTTTTTTTAAATACTTGTTTAGGTTAGGATAGATGAATATGACTATTCCAAACCAACTGAAGGACAACAGAAGAAACCATTTGATCAGCACTGGAGAAAGCACACCCTCTCGTATGTCGATGTCGGGACTGGGAAGGTATGTAAATCCCTTTGGGACCGAAAACTTGGGTTAGGAGTTTTACCCTTCCTGCACGGTGACTCTTAGTGGTGTGTGAGCCGTTATTTACAGGAAGAGAGAACTCACAGGCTATCAAAATTGAAACAGAAGTCACACTTCTAGTTATTATTATCAGTTCTCGGCCTTTTGGCTAAGATCAAGTGTGTGTGTGACTTCTAGTTATTAGTTTCAGAGGATAGCCATTGTTGTTTGGCAGTAAAACAGATTCAAATGCAGTAGCACTCGTGTCTGACAAAAGGGAGCTTTCACTCCTGAAACACTTGTTTGTCTATAAAGTGCTGCTGGACTTGAATCTGATTATTTTGGTAATATTCTGAAGTGCAAGCCCCCCCCCTCCAGCTAGAATCCGTGCTAGCTCTGCATACCAAAGATGGTCGGGTCCCACTACCCTCCCCAAATGCTTCTTGAGAGTCACGTGCCCAGCTTCCCCTGGTTTGGATCCATCAGGGCATTTCTGCGAATGAATGGATTTCCGCCTACGGAGTGTGATTGATGCCTCCTTCCAAAGCACTCCCTTAAATGCTGCTCCTCCTTGGGGGTCACTCGAGGCTGCAGCAGGGTAGGAGAGGTGAGAAAGTCACAGGTTTTTTGCCGAATTGCTCTGGTGGATCCAAACCTTGTTCGCAGAGTTGTGTTGGTGGATCCAGACCTATCTCTACCTTTTGAATTTGAGCCAAACGTTCAAGTAGGACTTACACTTTTGAAACCTGAATCTTCTCGTCGCTGTTGCATTCCTCGTGGTGCTAGCTAGCAATGCTACTTGGGCGTGGGGAGGCCGTCACCATGGCCAGAGCAGGGGTGGATTTTTAATAGGGTTAGGGGTCCATCTTTTTTTTGGATTGCGTGATTGGAATCAGCAAAAGCTTTGAAGTGGCTTTGGCAGACCAAAAAGTATGCTTGGCTCCTGGAGTGCTTTTTAGCCTTTAACTCAGGAACGGTATCCTCTTTCTCTCCCCCCCCCCCTTCTTTAAAGGTTACTTTGGAGTACAGACCTGTCATCGACAACACTCTAAATGAAGAAGACTGTGCCATGGTCCCACCTGCTATTCGTTCCTATTAGTGATTTAATGCACCTTTTTGTTATCTGGAGGCTGCGTGTTATGGCTGATCATCTTACTAGACAACCGTTACGCACAATAGTGGATGAAATTGTCATCTTTGAGAGTCTGTTCCATAGCACAGAAGAGAGGCCCATTGCTTCACGGGTGATAAAACCTAGCAATATTCAACTCATGCCTCAATAAAGTAATCTACCAGTATGTACACACCTGAGTCAATTTCTGGTTTTCTTTGAATATCAGGCTCTGCACACAAGGGTTTTATCTCTTGCTTCTGACTATGCTTTTTGTATTGATTCTCTTAAACATTTGAAAGGGTAAATGCAATGTGATTATTGAGAATTGGCTTCTGTTGAAATGAAACAACATTTTAGGGCACAGTTCAGTGGACCTAAATGTGCTTAAGCACCAAACCACTGGCTTGTTGCCTTAATTTTATATCTCTGCCTTCTACCTTGTATGCTGTTTAATTTGTGGCAATTTTGGCATGAACTGTGAAGTTTACAAAAGTACCATAGTACACATGTTAAAGGTTAGTAGGACTTCCCTGTAACACACTTAAGTATTTCTTCTCTTTCAAGGTAATACAGTATATCGTTGGACATGTGGGAGTTTATACCATTATAATATTCTTAACGGACATCTTAAACTAATTTTCTTTTCTGTTACTGTTCATTTGACCCCGTGGTTCCGAACAGCCTCTGAGAGTTTGTTTAAGCAACTAATGGAAAGCTACCCACAAAATGGGATCTCCCCAACAAAATTTGATAGGGTTTATGCAGTTGTTTTAGAATGGTAAACACTAATATTCATGGTAAGAGAAGGTTGTTGGGAATATATCCCTAGAAAGGGCCGGACTGTATGAAACAGGTTTTCTTTCTGTCAGATGTATAATACCAATGGAGCTTCAGTTCAGAACATGCACTGTATGTTAAAAAAACAAAAACTCTCTCCTAAATATACGCTGCTCTTATTTAATGCATATTATTGTAAGTTATATTATATTTTGTATTGTACAAGTTCAGCCGATTAAGCAGCAAAAGAATTGAAGAACGGTTTTGTAGCCTCCGAGACAATTATACGAATCTCTCCGTTAACTTTCCTGAATGTGTCTCCTTTCTCCAGCGGCTCAGCCATCTTCCTGTGATGAGAACTGTGGCACATGCAGAGCAAAATCTCTTCCGTTGTCTTTGCTGTGCACGAGTAAGAATGCTCTGGGTTGGTTTCAGACCTCTTCAGTGGGAACCCTGGTGGTGGTGGTGGGAAGTGCCTGCCGTCAAACTGCTACTGATGTATGGTGACCCCCTCCTGGGCAAGAGACGATCAGAGGTGGTTTTTCCATTGGCTGCCTCTGCTGAGCAACCCTGGACTTCCTTGGTGGTCTCCCATCCAAGGACTAACCAGGCCTTGACCCCTCTTGGCTTCCAAGAGCTGATGAGATTGGGCTAAGCTGTAAGAAAGTATGTACTTCAATCCAGAATTCATGAACCTTTTTACATGTCCACCACATATGGTAATACAACCCAATATGGTTATTATATTTCCAACACATATTAGTCAAGTTGTTATACATTTTAGCCAATCTATCTGGGGTTAGATGCCATCTATAGAACATTTTATATACGTTTTTGAACGAAACAGATTTAGTCAACTTAATGTTCACTTTCCATATTTTACTCCACTGTGACAGATCGATGTTATAACCCACATTTTGCATCCATCTAACCATACATTCTTTAACTATTTTGTCCTGCATTTTCAATTGCATCAGCATACCATACGTTTTCTTAATGAGTTTCTCTCTTGAAGTACATAATAATTTTCCAAATACACATTGTTCTGAATAGAATCCATCTGTCTGTTTATCCTTACTGTATCCAGATTCCACTTGCATTCTAGTCCACCGATATAAGTTTATTTTATTTTTCTTCTTCCTGAGATTTTAAATTATTTTCATCATATAACAATTCTACGTATCTAATAAGTGCTTGTTTTGAAGGTTGGTTGAGAGAAAGCTTCCACTGGAGACACCCATCTTGGGATTTAAGTATATATCAGCGGACAAATCTTTTCCCACGTTGTCACTAAGCATCGTTTTGAGATCTTCTCCTTTGTGAGCAGGTATTTGAACTAATTTTATTCCAAGAAACAGACGGCCTGCTGCTTCAGATTCATGATGCTGCAGGAAGGACAGACAGATTCTTCACTTACGCAGATTCCTCTGTCTGTTCCAACGCTTGATGAAGGCTCACAGCCTGATTCCTGGGCTGACGCCATTCTGCCTGTGGTTTCATTGGCACCAACCACTTGAGCTTGCACCATCACACCCTTTCTGCAACATGGGGCTCTTTTTGCATGTTTACACAGTTCCATGATTAATGGATGCTTTCCCCCCCCCCCATTTTTTGTTTTGGGATACTAAGCTGCATTTGCCTTCACAAAGCCTCAGCCCTTCATTTCTAAGAGTCCACCTAGGGTTGCCAACTCCAGGCTTGGAAATACCTGGAGATTTGAGAGTGCAGCCTGGGAGGGGGGGGTTTAGGGAGGGGAGGGACCTCGGTAGGTGACAATGTCACACCCTCTGCCTTCCAAAGCAGCCCCCCCAAGTGGAATAAATGTTTTAAGCAGGGGTCATTTCCTGCAGGAGTGCACAGGAGCAGAGCTCCAGCAGTAAAGAGCCCAGGGGAGCGGGCACATGCAACAAGCCCCACCCCCAGCTCCCAGCAGCCCTCAGTCAGAGCAAGAAGCAGCCAAGTAAATTGCAGAGACCCCGGCCCAAAACAGTCCAGTGGTACCTTTAAGACCAAATTCTATTCAGGTACAAGCTCTCCCTCCTCTGTGCCCCCCCCCCCCCCCCCCCCCCAATAGCTAGCAATCCAAAACAGTCTAGTGGTGGGTGTTGCCTTCTGACACACTTCTGGTGATGTCAAGGAGTGTGGCATATGCAAATAAGTTATGCTAATGAGCTCCTGCACCTCTTTTTCTAGGAAATGACCCCTGGTTTTAAGTACACAATTTATGTAGTCTGAAGATCAGTTGTAATTCTGGGAGATCTCCAGCAGCCCTCCCCTTGAGCTTAGCTGTGAATCCTGGCCGTAGGGTTCCTAATGACTGATCAAGGAATTGTTCAAAGAAGGCCGCTTCATCACGTGGTTTCAGCGTCCGCTCTGGCTAATGAAAAGGTCCTTTGGAGGTCCTATTTAGGAAGGACTTGTTTCTATTTTGTCTGCCAGGGAAGGAGGTCCTTCCTTCTCAGTGTCTAGCACGTTTTCACGGCCCTCATCATCCATTAAATCGTGCTATGAACTTGCATGCGCCTACTCCCTTCAACCCAGGACTCCCTTGCTCCCCCCCCCCAAGCTTCATGCCGTGTTAAATAGTGGGTTCTAAGCCTGGAGGACCGGGGCTACGACATGCTGAACAGGTCACGTTTATTGCATATGTTGATTCCAGAAGAGGGAAGATGGACTCAAGTGGGTAACCGTATTGGTCTGAAGCAGCAGGACAAAGTCCGAGTCCGGGGGCACCTTTCACACCAACCAAGTTTTATTCCGGGGGCACGCTTTCGTGTGCGTGCACGCAAACCCAGAATAAGAGACGACCCTCAAAAGGGTTGGGCAGATGCTTCAGAGCTTCTCGTACGCATGCTCCCGGACGAGCGGCACATGCGCACTCTTCCGCAGGGAAAGCCTCGCGCGGCCCGCCCCTTTCCCCCCCCCTCGGGTGCCGCTCCATTGGGCTTTCCCCCGTCGGCCCCGCCTTCCCCCCC